CGCTGCCCCGGCCTCGCCCCGCGCTCCCACAAGCCCCCACGCCCGCCGCCCGGCCCGGAAGTGCGTCACGGGGAGGGCGCGTCCACTCCCCCCAGCCCCCGGCCGCCATGTTGGGAGGATCGAGAGGTGGGGGTCTGGGAGGTGAGGCTGCGATACCCTGTGCGCATGCGCTTGTCTACCCTCTCTCCTTAAGGTCGCGTCAGGCGGGGCGTGTGAACAGGTGCGCACGTGCCCTTCAGGGCCTGGCCGGGTGTGTCTACACACACACACGCCCATGTCAGACCAACACACATCCTTCCCGGAGGCCGTGGCCAGGGCACACGTGCGAGGGGAGGCGGTTCCATGCGGACGCCGGCACAGGAGCCACGTGTCCCGGGCGCCGCGGCAGCCCACCCAGCCCTATGCCCCGGGATGTGCGCAGACGCAGAGGGGAAACCACGAGGGGCAGCTCCCCTCGCACCTGAATTGGGCCCTCATGCCACAAGCAGGACGTCGGAGGAGAGCAGGGCGCCTGCGGGGGCCTGCCTGCAAGGGGCTCGAGGGTCGCAACAGGCTAAACAGTGAAGGGCAAGTCGGTGGAGTCCAGCGTCACCAGCCCCGGGGCCGCCGGAGATGCACGTGAGGCGGTTGCATCTGCCCCGCGCGGCACCGCATGTGGTGGGAGCCGAGAGTCCAGCCGGGCTTACGAGGCCACGGCCCGGGAGGAAAGGGGCAGCGGGCGCCGCACGGCAGGGCGCGTGGAGATCGGCCTCCGCGTCTGGACCCGAAGGCCGGAGGCTGCGAGCGGGAGGGGACCAGCCCTGCCGGGACGCGCTCGCACTCCCTCCCCCACCGCCACGTGGGCCTCGGGCAACACGCCCTGCTGCCATGACGTTCTCACGTGGATGCCTGCCCGGGCAGGGCGAGACTGGGCAGGACCCGCTCTCGCGCCCGCCGAGGGACTGCCGCATGCTGTGGGGCTGCTCTGGTGCTGGGCGCAGCGCAGCGCAGGGATGACTCCCCCGGGCAGAGGTGCAGGCATCCTGCTTTATTCAAGCCCAGTACAGCCCAGCTCCTGCCCCAGCCCTGGACTGCACGTCTGGTCCCCTTCGGCACAGCCTCCCCGTGCCCACCACCTGGCTGGCACAACACCGCTCGAGCCCATGGTGCCCGTCCACACTGAGATGCGCAGCGCCCTACGCGGCCAGCCCCACCATCCTCTCGCTGACCTCCCACAGCTTCCTGGCGACGGCGTCGTCCCGGGCGTGGGGCCGCGGCTCCTGCGGGCGGCAGTCGGCAAAGTAGCGCCCGCTGAACGCCTCGATGCCCTCCTGGGTGGCGCAGTGGATGGAGGTCTGGGCTCCGCCCACAGCGTCTTGGAAGAAGAGCCAGGAGAAGGGCACGAAAAGCGGCCGCAGCCAGGCAGGGATGAAGGAGAACAGCGCCGTGTTCACGACCCCTGCGGGCAAAGGTGGTCAGGGCGGAGGGCAGGACAACGCCACGGTGCCCGAGCGGCTGCACGAGGCGGCCAAACCTCGGGACTCCGCGTCCTGCCTTGGGGAGACCCGAGGGGGCCCCAGCCCCGGGGTCGGGCGGCGCAGGCTCACCTGGGTGCAGCGCGTAGCAGGTGACGCCGGTGCCCTCCAGCCGGCCGGCCAGCTCCCGGGCGAAGAGGATGTTGGCCAGCTTGCTGTCGCAGTAGGCCCGGAAGTTCTGCAGCACGCCGTCCACCGGCCGGCCCAGGCGCTCAAAGTCGATGCGCCCCGAGCGGTGGGCGTTGGAGGCCACGACCACGACGCGGCTGGGCGCGCAGTGCTTCAGCCGCTCCAGCAGCAGCTGCGTCAGCAGGAAGTGGCCCAGGTGGTTCACCTGGAACACCAGGTTGCAGCCGTCCGAGCGCCGGCCCCCAGACGCGATGCCTGCAGGGGAAGGAAGGTGGCTCCAGCGCGTGCAGGCCACGGCCCAGGGGTGCCAGCCCCGAGCCGCAGCCCTCACCCGCGTTGAGGACGAGGAGGTCCAGGCGGGGCTCGGCGCGCAGGAAGGTCTCGGCGAAGGCTCGCACGGAGTCCAGGCTGGCCAGGTCCAGGCTCATGAAGAGGACTTCGCTGTTCCCCGTCTCCTGCGGGGGGTGGGACACAGCGGGCGGGATGCGGGCACTGGCCGGGCAGCCCGCGCCCCCCCAGGGAGAGCTCGAGGGGGAGGGCCCGGCGCGGGGCTCCCACCTGCCGGATGCCGCGGGCGGCCGCCTCCCCTCGCTCGGCGCTGCGACAAGCCAGCACGACGCGGGCGCCG